CTCTCTCTCTCTCTCTCTCTCTCTCTCTCTCTCTCTCTCTCTCTCTCTCTCTCTCTCTCTCTCTCTCTCTCTCTCTCTCTCTCTCTCCCGCCCGCCCGTGCGTCTTTTTGTTTTTGCCTGTTCCTTTTCTGTGTTTTCTTTGCTTTCGTATTTCTTTTTTCTTCTTTTTTTTTCCAGTTCTCGTTCTAAATACTATCTGTGTCATGCTGACAGTACCGGTGCCCGGCCTTCAAGCAGCGACCGGGCCTTCCCTTGGCCGACCCCCGAAGGTGTCGGCGCGTTAGCGGGAAAAGCCCGCGGCCGATAGCTGGGCCAAGTACTGGTGGTTTAAAAAAAAAAAAAAGGGGGGGGGAGGCTGGGCCACATGGAGTCCTGAATCCCAGCACTCAGTGGCACTGGCCTTCATCACCAAAGAAAAGAGGGTCCCAATATTGACTGGATGGTAATGGAAATGCACCACATAGAGTACCCAGGAATAACCACCTGCAGAGTGAACAGAGTTTGCAGGAGGTGGATAAACAGCACCTTGTCCGAAAAGTCAGGGTAATTGAGAGTGCGGACTTTACGATCTTTCTACCACTACCCACAATCAAGGAGCTAGAAGTGGACCCCATAGAGTGCGCATGGAAGCTGAAAAGAGTAAATAGTAAACTTGCTCTGACACATCATTTGCCTGGGATACAGGCTCAGACAAAGATCGACTAAGACCCAAAAAAAAAAGAAAAAAGATCAACTAACAGAAGAAAAAAAAAAAGGGATGTCATAGCCCAGAGATGGTGGAAGTATGGGGGCGAAAGTTTGGAAGGTGTAGCGAAGATCCCCCGGGGCTCGCAGTGACTGATCACCTTTTTTTTACCAGTCTGGGTTAAAGTATAGTAGTAGTATACTCGCACTATCGGTAGGCTCTGAAAATGGCAAAATCGCAAAATGAGTGGCTGGATCGAGTCCTCCGTTCACAGGGACTCAATCTGGCCGCTGGTTTTGTGATTCTGCGATTTTGAGGGCGTTGTGTGAGTATGCCCGTCATCAGTTGGGTGAACCAAAGCAGGAGGTGGGAAACTCAGGAACGGGTTCAACATGTGCATTCTGCAAGACGAAGGTGGAAGTGGACGAAGATGTCCGACACTGCTTCCTATCATGCCAAAAGACTCAGCAAATTTGGGAAGTTCTTCAACTTTCACGCTTTCGGGGAGGTGCTAGTAGGCAACCTCCTCCGAAAGGCTAAGTTCATGTTGCTCAAAGTTTTTCTTTTTTCTTCTTCTTCTTCTTCTTCTTCTTCTTCTTCTTCTTCTTCTTCTTCTTCTTCTTCTTCTTCTTTTTTTCCCGTCCCAAAGAACCGGAAAGGATGCAAGTGCCAAGTTTTTTCCAAAGGGTACAAAGTACTACAAAGTTCTACAAAGTTCTACAAACCCTCGCTTTATGGAAATATGGAAAAGAAGATGCGCAGACACACTGGATACTAGGAAACAAACAGGTGCCTGCACCCCAAAGCATGGGAGGAGGGGTTCTTGCAGCTACTGAAAACAGAAAATATATCAATTGGTACACCCATGAACTGTTGAAATAGAAACCTGAGTTTGAAGCCAGGTAATGGCCCCAGTACTTTTCAACTATGGACGCTGGGCCCGATTCCCAGCATGTGCTGCTCCCCAAAAATAGATTGGAGCTTTGTCCCTTGTTGTGGAAAAAAAGAAAAGAAAGAAAAAAGAGTTTGAAATTTGAATCCAGCTGGGGAAAAAAAGGGGGTAAAAAAGAAAACATCACTGACTGGATCAGAACTATGAGGGACAGTAGCAAGAGAAAGGCCGACTTTCGTCCCTGCTCGACGAGTCAGTCTTATAGTCAAGCTCCCTTTTGCCTTTACACTCAATGGCTGATTTCCGTCCAGCCTGAGGGAACATTTACACGCCTCCGTTACCCTTTGGGAGGCCTACGCCCCATAGAAACTGTCTACCTGAGACTTTTCCTTAGCCGAGAATGGCTGACGAGCTCAGGGATAATTCCAACAAAACTGTTTTAGTCATGGGGAAGATAGGAGTGAGCAGTAGACACGAAGCATATGAAGTTCAGATCGAAGGAAGGGGAAGCAGGCGCCGTGGGCCTATATATCCTACAGGAAGAGGAGCAGGAGCTCCAAAGTATGGTGGAGGCCAAAGCCTTAATCTGGAAGCAGCGTAATAGATAAGGCTTGCTATAGACGGAGAGGGGATGGGCACTAGAGATGCAGGGTCCAGGGAGATGAGTTGTTAGGTTTAGTTGCAGGGGGGCTAGCTAGCTGGGGAGCATATGAAAGGAGGAGGTCTGGGGAGAACAGGGGGGTGGAGTAGCAGGTCATGCTTTCAGAAACGAAAGCGATCGATGCTGATGTCCCGGCATCCCTTGATTATAACCAATGGAAGAGTTGAGCGCATATGTTATGTAAGGGGGGCCGGACTGTTTCCAACTGCAGTGACGAAAGAACTGCTATGGCGGCTATGGTTGAAAAAGAAATCGTAAAAAGATAACTATTAACTATGTTATTAACTTACTGTATGTTATAAATAGTAATCCGTTATCTAATCATCGAGCTTCGCTCAGTGGGTACACCCATGAACTGTTGAAATACAAACCTGAGTTTAAAATTTAAGCCCTGATGGACCTTGATGAAGGGAATAAATCATTTTGAATTACCTTACCTAGGGCCGGGCCGGTCCGATCAATGAAGATATCCCAAGGCCATCTACCTTTAAAGGAATGTGGTATCTATTTTGCTGTAGACTAATTTATGGACTGTGCTGCCACTTCATACAGTGTTATGGTCTTATGGATTACATTATCTACTTTTTTCAAGTTTTTGATTTTTTTTTTTTTTTTTTTGAAGGCTGTTTTCTCCTCAGATGGGGGACAGCTGTATTCATTACACTATTCTCTGGTCTCGATTCTTTTTTTCGGGAGGGGGCGGGCTCACACTAGGCAGTATTTTACTGTTTTTCCTTTCTTTATCAATGCTCCTATCTAGTCCTGCGGCCAGGGTTATGGGTCGAGCAACTTGTATCTTTAACTTGGGATAAGTTGAAGATACATTATCTACTTTGTTATGCACCATAGATATAACATAGCAGGCAGTGCCACACACGATGTACACACAACTTTTGAAGCAGTGCATACATAACGCGGTACATCATGCTCCTTTTTTTTCTTTCTTTCTTTTTTTTTGTAATTAAAAAAACAAACACGCTCCTCCAGTTATGGGGCTGTTACCCGGGGTGATAAGAGCACTCCCGGGCATCAACCCCGTAGTGAGGATGGCTCCTGTCTATTGGTGGGGAGCTGCACCTGCTGGAAACCGGGTCCAGCATCCCTTGCAATTAATTGCGCAATATTCAACAGGGGGCACCTCCCCGTGTAGTATGTCTACGTGTATCTGTCCTGCACATTATTCTGCACGGTGCTTCTATCGAACTGTGAACTGCTATGCTCGCTCACGCTAGAAACAGCATATTCCAGTTACTGTGGGGACCACCACATCCACAGGTACATGCGATCCACTGGCAGTAGGGACATTGATGATCTGTTCTCACTTGCCATCTTGCCTGAGCTGCGGGGTCTTTCTTTTCTGACACAAAAAAAAAAACGACGACCGAATGGGGTTCATTCCCAAATTACCAATTCACTGTGCAGTTGGGATTGCAATCAGGATGGGATTGGGTTCCTATCCCAATCCCAATCCCAATCCCAACCCCAATCCCAATCCCAATCCCAATCCCAGCCGAGTTCCCCTAAGCCCTAAACCCTGGACCCGAAACCCTAATCCTGAGAAGAGCAATCTGGTAATGAGCTGCATGCTGTGCTTTTAGCTTGTCATCAAGCCATAGAACGCAGTGGTTGTCTGCTGCCTCAGATCCTACTGCTGTCCTGAACCAAGTGACAGACACGACTTCTCTCTCTCTCTCTCTTTTTTTTTTTTTTTTTTTTTTTTTCAAATCAGAACAGAACCTTATGGTTCCTACTACTTGTCCATTCTTGGGAGCAACAGTCCAGTTCCTATACCACCGGCAAGTCATCTGAATACGACAATGGTTACCCACCCCAACACTTCTCCCCATTATGGCTGAGAGACCCGAGAAGGCGGCATTGATTCCATCCTTTCGGAAGGATGTACCACCCCTCACCCCTGCCGAAGTTGCTATTTTTCTGAGCGATTCTGAGGGCCGGTTCATGTCTGCGGAATTTCCTGTCTTCAGTCGAGCTCCTCCCCTCGCTGCTGCGTGGCAGACATGACATTTTGTTCTTTGTTCATTCTTTAGTAGTCCGTGGCCGGAATGCTTCTGATGAATCTGATCACCATATTCATGGGTATATAAATCGGCTTCTGCTATGCATGCATTGAATGTCACCGTGCAACTTGTCTGACATGGCACTACTGATAGGCCGGCGACTGCTGACGTGAACTGCAGGGGGAAGACAGCCAAAGAACTGAGTGTGGCAATACTTGAAATGGACGCAACTGGCGGAGAGACTGCTGAGGAAGCGACGGTGAGTCTTCTCTCACATGCCAACTACTTGGGAAGAGAGTTCCAAAAGGCGGAAGCCGCCTTGATCAGTGGAGAAGCGTATGTTCAAGATTAGCTGCCCCCGAGGCCGCCATCGACCAGTGGAGGACATCACATTTGAGATTAGCACAACGCTGGGTGGACACCGCACACAGCCAACAACGTCGGGGTCATTTTCAGCTATGTCAACAGGGGAAAGCTAGCAAGCCTAGAATGCCACGGTGAAACATCAGCAATCGGTTTCTTCCCAGTCACATCACGCTGTCTGGTACACCACTCTGTAAATTTCAGATAGCTAGTTTGTTCCTGTTTGTTTTGCAATCAATTACTGTACTGGTGGAGAGACTGCTGAGGAAGCGACGGCGAGTCTTCTTTCACATGCCCACTACTCGGGACAGAGCAGGTAGCTAATTTGTTTGTGCTGATTTGCAATCAATCAGTTTGAAATTCTGAGATTATTTCCACCGTTTTTTTTTTTGTTTTCTCTCGTTTGGTTCCATTGTGGGAATCTGGGAAAGATAACAATGACTGTGCTGTCCCGAGACAACTGGTAAAGGATCATTTTGTGGATCTCTACATGTCTTTCCTGATACAGGTCGTCATCCATGTCGAGGTGACAATGCCATGTGTGAGTATGTGTTGCATGATTGTTTGTGTATGTGCATGTGTGAGCGAGTGAGTACGAGATAGATAGATAGATAGATAGATAGATAGATAGATAGATAGATAGATAGATAGACACAGAGAGAGAGAGAGAGAGAGAGAGAGAGAGAGAGAGAGGGGTGACAATGCCATGTGAGTACGTGTTACATGATTGTGTGTGTATGCGCATGTGTGAGTGAGTGAGTATGAGTGTGTGTGTGTGCGCACGCGCGCAAGAGAGAGAGAGAGAGATTGAGAGAGAGAGAGAGAGAGAGAGAGAGAGAGAGAGAGAGAGAGAGAGAGAGAGAGAGAGAGAGAGAG